TCCGAACCTCAGCACGAGCGACTCAAAACAAAGTACCACCATGTCCAAAACCATGCAACAGAAATCGAACATATGTCTTAAACCGCGAAAACAGCTCAAATCAAATAAAAATACCAAAACCATGTTCAATACATGAATTCAAATAAAAGAAAAGTAAAGCAGACAAGCGCAATCAAAATTGGCCTACGCAGAGGCGTCCTCGCTAGAGTTATCCTCGACGTCGTCCTCCCTCACCAACTTTCCAAAACGAACAACTTTTTCCACATGCATGCTGGAAAAATCAAACCCAGGCGCCAGAAGTCTAGCCTGGCGAGCAGCCTTGAGGAAACCCCTCTTATGCTCCACCACGAGGGAACGCTCAACCTCCTCAAGCCTCCTTTTCAGTGCCGCCCTCTCGGCCTCCAACACCGAAAGACCTACCCTCTGAGCGGCTATCTCCTCTTCCTTACTACTAATGATAACCTCGTCGCGAAGACGCTCCTCGGTCACCAACACTAGTTCACCCTTCAAAAACGCTACTTCATCTTCCAAGGAGTGAACCTGGCCCGCATAACCTTCATTGGAACGCAGGGCAGCCTCTAGTGACTCTTGAACCTTGGCGAGGTCCCCCCTTGTCGCTTGGAACTCGGCCCCCTACAACTTTGTTTCCCCAAGAGCGGCAGCCAGAACCCCGTTCTCCTCCTTCAAAACCTTATTTTCTTCCCTCAGGGGCTGAACTTGGCCCTTCAGCTTCGCCACATCCTCCTGCTGCTTGGACCACTTGTGTTTCCAGTGATCCACAATGGTCGTGCCCCTTTGCAGGAAAATCTGAGCCGCTTCAAGGCCCCCCATCGGCCCGGCTGACTCAATCATTGCCTGATCAGCCGCACTCAGTGACCCCATGGGGAAAAACTTCTCCGGCGTCACCGCGGCACTCCACAGAGACTCGATCTCCTCTGACGCGCTCAAATGTTCCAACCGCATCGGCGCGCCCTCCCGCGCATAGCGGTACGCAAGATACGGGCACTTGGGAGGTCCCTTCGCCCCCAGAGCAGAAGTCGGGACCCCGGAGCTAGGCCCTTTTCCGCGAATATCGGTCGAAGAAGAGGCAGACGCCTCCGGCCCTGCACCAGAAACATCGACCCTTGTCGTCACCGACCTCAGAATCTCTGGAACCTCGGCAGCCTCGCTCGCCTGCAAAAGAAAAAGGAAAAGACACATAAACCTCACAAGTCGAAAAGAATTGAGGAATACGGTGCATCAAAGGATCACAAGTACACGCTGCTTACCTCGACAGCTTGGGC